GTCATCATGTCAGAGGGTCATTATGACAGAGAGTCATCAAGTAAAACAGTCATTATGTCAGAGGGTCATCATGTCAGACTCATCATGTCAGAGGGTCATCATGTCAGACTCATCATGTCAGAGGGTCATCAGGTCAGACTCATCATGTCAGAGGGTCATCATGTCAGAGGGTCATTATGTCAGAGAGTCATCAAGTAAAACTGTCATCATGTCAGAGGGTCATCAGGTCAAAGATCATCAGGTGTTTGCGTTACCTGTGGTACTGTTGTCTGTTCTCCACATCGTTGGTTGTGTGGTTGACAGCGGACGTTTGAGGAGCACGAATGTTTCCCTCACAGGCTCCCTGAAAACAGATCGGATCAGTACCTACCTGTTGGTGACGTTTTGCCCCTCCCCCTCTGTACCTGTGCGATCAGTAAGGCCTCGAGCAGCTGCCCCCTGCTGCTGAAGAACGTCACCAGTTTTTTTATGTCTCCGGTGGCGATGCAGTACGGGATGGCGTCGTCGTTGTCTTCGGCCATCAGCTGATCAGCTCGCCTGCAGGAAACAGACGATAAAACTTTTAAATTAAATTTTTGTGAACTGTTTATATTTACACAAACTTTGTCTTCTTGAGTTTCTTTCTCCATTTAGCAATACTTCTGTCTTCTTCCACCCAGATTGTGCCTCCGCTGGAGGACTTCTCACAAAGGTCAGAGGTCACACACCCAAACTCCCATTGAATCTAAACTGTGGAGTTTGTCTTCCAAACAGGAAGTGAAGGCGGTTTTTAACCTGTCCACCTGTTATTCTGGACCGTGTCACGTTCTGTTTGTGTCACGGACTCTTGGAGGGAACGCTTCTGATAAAATGTTAGAACCTGAACGGGTTTACCTCTGCATGAGTTTCTGCCAGTACTTCATGGAGACTCCTGGAGCAACAGACAAGGCTTTCTCCCACTGAAAGAGACACCAGGCTGCTGTCAGACCCGGTTCCTACAACATTACTGATAACAGAACCAGAGCGGACACAGACCTGACCCAGCTCCACCATGAGCTCACAGTATCTCTGGATCTGCCCCAGCCTCAGGTGAATGTCTGCTGCTTCTTTCAGACGCTCCTCCTTACTGGGAGCTCCGATTCCTCCTCCGAACTTCGACATTTTAACAATCGTCAGCTCCTGGGCCTCCGACTGACACGATGAAGAAAAACAAAGTGTTAGATGTGTTTAAATAAAAACATCACAGATGCATTTAAACACACAACTGTGAGTTACAACTCATTTAAGGAAACAGCTGTTAGTCACTTTTCTTATTTATTTTGGGAGTTTCAGCTGTTGGAGTAGTTTTAAGAATTATTGGAAGAGTTTTTCTGTGTTTTTAACTTTATACTGTGTAGGTTAATGCATTTATATGGTTTATTAAAAAGTTGTATGTATTTATTGTGTGTTTTTTGTTATTTATTGTGTAGCTTGAAGTATTTGTGTTGTTTTTAGTTGTGGTTTAATAAATTCTTTGAAAACTTTTTCTGTATTTTTGACATCATACTGTGTAATTTAATGTGTTTTTATGAATCATTATTTAGTCTGATGTATTTTTGTGTCTTTTCTTGTGTAATCTGATGTATTTTGTGTGTTGTGCATGTTTGGTTCTTTTGTACAGCACTTTGGTTGGCCTTGTTGCTGTTTTAAGTGCTATATAAATAAATTGGTATGGTATGGTATGGTATGGTATGGTATGGTATGGTATGGTATTTTATGATTTTTTGTGAAGTTGTATGCATTTCTTGTGTATCGTTACGATTTGTTGAGTAGTTTTTTTTTGTGGTTTTATGAAAATTTTTAAGTTTTTCTGTATTTATGTCCATACACTGTGTAATTTTATGTATTTTTTGGTTTATTGTGTAGTTTTGTGTTTCGTTGCAGCTGTTTGCGACTCATTGAGTCTTTGATGACACTTCAGTCATTCAGTTCCAGCTTCCTGCCTCCAGTTGCAGTGATTTGATTGGCTGACAGCCTGGGATGGGGCGGAGCTTGCAGAGGGTAAAAAACTCACCGTTTTAAACTTGACCAGATGTTTCATGTGCATCACTCCTTTGCTGTAGCTGGCAGGCAGCAGCGAGTCGTCCTGCCCGTTGAGGACAAAGACCAGGTCCCACAGGTTGGTGCTGCCCCCTGGAGGCTGGAGGGGGGAACACAGCTCACCTCAGGAACTGCAGGTTTTACGTTTACACACGTTTCTGCCTGAAGACGCCTCATCAGATGCTACAAACTGAACGTTACTTGAGCCGAGTTTGGTTTTCATCAGGAGGTTCCTGCTGGATGATGATGATGATGAAGAGCGCCAATAGAACTTACCGAGAAGCACTCGGAGAACCAGCGCAGCTTCTTGGACCTGGTGTCCCCGCTCAGTTTGTCCAACTCCTGCTTGATGTCTCTGGACACTTTCCCACAGAGCAGCGGCGGCGAGCCGGGGACCATCGCCGTGTCTGCAGAGAGACCAGGACCAGCGGGGTCAGAACTCCTCCGAGGGACCAGAACGGCAGACCTGAGGCCGGTCCTCACCCGTGTTCCCGGTTATCTTCTCCCAGGGCTGCTCGGTGAGGACGTTCAGCAACAGAGGGGAGATGAGCGGCGTGAGGGACCAGAGTCGGACAGTGCTGTCTCTGCTGCAGCTCGCCATGGTGAACGGACGGTTCTGATGACACGTCAAACCTTCACAAACAAGCGAGATTAAGACCAGATTAACTGCTGCTCTGACAGATTATGTTGTTGAATAAAACTTGTAAAAAAAAAGCTCTCACTGTTTGTTCACACAGCCTGGAGAGGCTTACGTTGATTTGTTGTTTTTAATTTATGTTTAGCTGTCACTCACCGTAAACATCAGCTCCGTGGTCGAAGACGGTGTCCAAACACGTCCCGTCTCTGGTGTCCCACACTCGGATCGTGTAATCCCAGGATCCTGCAGAACAGTTCAGTTCACACCCGTTTCTTCTTCCAGCTGTTCCCTCCACTCTGTCCTCACTCCATCTCCCTCCATGTCCTCTCTAACTGCATCCATACATCTCCTCTTTGTCTTTTTCCTGGCAACGGCATTTCTAACATCCTTCTACCAATATACCCACTGTCCCTCCTCTGGATATGTCCAAACCACTGTCCCTCCTCTGGACATGTCCAATCCACTATCTCAGTCTGGACAATCCTTGCACGTGTGCTGTCCTTCTGACGATCTTTAGGTAAAATATCAAAGCGGAGGTTTTTACCTGAAATGAGGAGGTAAGGGACCTCTGTGTTCCACATCAGACCTCGGACCGGAGCCGTGTGGCCGCTCAGAACGTTGATACAAGCGTCCTGGGTGTAGTCCCAGATCCGAACAGTCCTGCAGGAACACAGGCAGGCTCCTATAAACTCACCTGTGTTGACCTTTGACCTCAGTACGACCTGCACATGTGTTCTGGTCGGGACGTTCGTGTTGACTCTCACCCGTCGTCCGACCCGGAGCACAGGATCCCCTCTCTGAGGGGAGACCAGCGCACGTGGAAGACTTTGGCCAGGTGTCCGGTGAAAACCTTCAACGGCTGATCCGAGCTGGTGGCCAGGTAGTAGACCCGGACGTTTTTATCCTCGCAGCCGGTGGCGATCATGTCCCTGAAACAACAAAGAAGCTGATGCGAGTTTTTAAACTAGGTCTGGATCAGGCTGACCCGGTTCTGTTGAATCAGAACTCGAGTAAATCTCTGAGTCACAAAACCTTCAAACTGAAGTTATCAACTAAACGAGCAGCTTTCTTCCACTCCCGACTTTCCTGAATTAACACTCAAAGGTGGAGAATCTAAAGCCGGTGTGTCAGTGAAACAAACAAACGTTTTTTTTTAACGGTGAGCCCTGAATAACAGCTGAAATCTACTTCAGCAAACGAGTTTCATTTTGAGCTGTTATCTACTGTTTTTACTAATTTCCCAACATTAGCTAATGTTCAGCTATATTAGTCTTTTAATTGTCATCCCGCTTATTTAAGCTTTTAGCTTTCTGTTTTTTGCTCCTAATTTAACTTTTAGCTATTGTTTCACTACTTTAAGCTTTAATCTACTGCTCAGCTGGTCTTAGTTGTTTCCCATTGTTTTTCCTAATATTGACATTTAGCTACCGTTTTGCTCGTCTTAGCTTTCAGCTACCGTTAAGCTGATTTCCAGCTGCAGTTTCAGCTTCTTGAACAAACGTTCCTGTCACAGAAGTTGCTGTTTTTCTTGCATTTCTTTGATTTAAAGTTGATAAAAGGTAAATGTTCATATTTAGTAATGGCATCGAGTGTTTGGACCCAGTTCTTACTTGTTGTTCTGGCTCCAGTCGCAGCCGAACACGGCAGCTGGATGTTTGTATTTATGGAGGATTTTACCGTCGATGGTCCGGATGATGCTGCGGTGAGGAAAAAAATCAAACACATCCTGATCATCTGAGGAGAAGCAACACGACTGGGCCGTCAGAACCGACAGACGCTCACCAGAACCCGTCTCCGCTGCAGGTGGCGATCCTCTTTGAGTCTTTGTGGCTCCATGAAATACAGAAGATCCCGTTTTTACCGTGCTGGAAGACAAACGGGAGGAAATCAGTCACTCTGCATCAGATTCCCCAAACTTCACTGAACAACATCAGCAATAGGAGCAGGAGGAGGACGGAGACGTCTGAGAGCGTTTCAGAACAACGAGCCGATGGTGAGTTTGTGACAAGGAACGGTTTAAATAAACTGAGTGAGGGTGAAGGGGGAACACGTGGACTGAACACTGACTGGGAACAGGTGAGGGGGACAGGCTGACAGAAAAACACTGACGTGGTTTATTGAGAGTGGATGGAAGAAGAAACAAAACAAGACCTAACCCAGAACACTCAAAATTAAAACCCAAACACTGAAACACAAAAACACTAAAGATCTAAAATGACCAGGAAAACACAACAGAACCCAAAGGACAAAAATAAACTGTGAAAAGAAAACTGAAATAAACTACAGAGACTAAATAAAATCACAGAAAACACAGGCCCTACAACATTCTGTAACGATCTCTGTGACCGGCAGAAGAAAAGTACAATTTAAAACTGATTATAACTCACTGAGTCACTCACTGTGTAAACGCTGAGTCAGCATCATGATTTACTTCACTGTGTAAATGCTGAGTCAGCATCAAGGTTTAACAAACTGCGGAAACACTGAGTCAGCATCATGGTCTAACTCACTGTGCAAACGCTGAGTCAGCATCATGGTTTAATTCACCGCATGAATGCTGAGTCGGCCAGCATTGGGGTTCAACTCACCGTGTAAATGCTGAGTCAGCATCATGGTTTAACTCACTATGTAAATGCTGAGTCAACATCACAGCTGAACTCACTGTGTAAACGCTGAGTCAGCATCAAGGTTTAACTCACTGAGTTAACGCTATGTTGGCAAGCATCAAGGTTAAACTCACTTTGGAAACGCTGAGTCAGCATAAAAGGTTTAATTTACTGTGTGAACTCTGAGTCAACATCACAGTTTAACTCACTGTGTAAATGCTGAGTCAGCATCAGGGTTTAACTCGCTATGTAAACGCTGAGTCATCATCACAGTTTAACTCACTGTGTAAATGCTGAGTCAGCACCAGGGTTTAACTTGCTATGTAAACGCTGAGTCAACATCACAGTTTAACTCACTGTGTAAATGCTGAGTCAGCACCAGGGTTTAACTCGCTATGTAAACGCTGAGTCAACATCACAGTTTAACTCACTTTGTAAATGCAGAGTCAGCATCAGGGTTTAACTCGCTATGTAAACGCTGAGTCATCATCACAGCTGAACCCACTGTGTAAACGCTGAGTCAGCATTAGGGTTTAACTCTTCATGTTTTTACTCATTAAAATGAATAAAGAACTTTTAGTATTGTTGAAAAACCTTTTAAAATTTTTGCAGATTTACTTCATTTATTGCTTTTAGTTTAGTTTTAGTTTGGTTGGTTTTAGCTTTCAGATACTTTTTTTTTTAGCTTTTAGCTACAGCTTTGCTAATTATAGCTTTTATCTGAATTGATAGTTTTAGCTTTATTAACTGAGTTTCATCTTCTTCCGCATCACACTGTGTTTTCACAGAAACTGAAATGAAAAATAACTTTGTTAATAATTAATTAATTAATTAATCCTTAATGATGAATTAAGTGATTCATCGTAACATTAGGAATTAATTGTTAACGTTTGGAATTCATTGTTAAAGTTAGAAATTCATCGTAGCGTTAGGAATTCATGGTTGACGTTTTGAAGGAACCTCATTGAAGCGAGTGATGATCTTTCCTTTGCGGACGTCCCAGATGAATGCTCCGTTACGAGACGTCGCTCCGGCGATGCAGTTCAGGTCTCCTTCAAACACAAAACCAGAGAAAAGTTCACGAGTTTGAATGTTTTAACACAAACAGCAGAGACACAAAACATTTGTGTTCCAGAACAAAATGTTCTTAATGAACATTTCAATAAATGAAGTCTCAGACAGGAGGAGCGGAGAATGTGAAAAGGTTTAAATCAAACTCCAACAGTTTTCACCTTCCTCAGGTAAACATAACCACAGGTAGAGCCCGAGGGTTTCACCATGATGCAGGTTAAATTATCTTTGAAGGATTCGTTTGAACCATGAAACAGGTTCTAAAACAAACAACTTCTATGATTGTAAAACACATTTAAATTTATCCTGGATTTTCTCTGACCCTGTAAGGGTCAGAATTATACATACAGGCTCAAATATAAACATACAGTCACCAGAATCCGTCAGTGAGTGTGTGTCCCTGTCCACCAGTGTCTATGTCCAGCAGTGTCTAAAACACGGGTCAAGCCGGAAATATTCGACCCACGCCGTGACAGTGGAAAAGGGGCATTAGTCCACTAGTGTTCATTGTGTCTTTGTCCATTAGGGTCTGTATTTTAAACGCACATCGACAGCATGGAGGTCTCTGTGGAGACTTGTAATGATTTTATCAGATGTTATGTTGAAAAGGTTGAGTCGACCAGGTCATCGATTCCTCACTCCACAGCTGACCTCTCTGTCTTTGTCCTTTGCTCAGCTGTCTTCAGTTTGAGCCCATTTCTCTCACATTTTTTAGAGGATGTTGTTGGTCATATGAAACCCTCAGGTTCCCCATCCCTGCATCGTTTTTTAAAGAAGTCTCACCCTTGATTGGACCCTCTTTTCTTGCTATTATAAATAGCAGTATTTCAACAAGTGTAATCCCTGATGTTTTTAAACATGCAGTAGTAAATCCATTAATTAAAAAACCTGGACTTGACTCTACTGCATGTTCAAATTTCAGACCAATCTCAAAACTTCCCTTTCTTTCTAAAATCTGGGAGTAAAAAGTCTTTATTCAACTAAATGTGTTTTTGAATAAGAATGGATTTTTTTGATATCCTTAAGTCTGGTTTTAAACAATTTCACTGCACCAAAACAGCTTTAGTAAAGGTTTGTAACAACATTCTTTTAGAAAATGACTGGTCAGTTTGTGATCCATGTGCTCCTGGACCTTACCGCTGCTTTTGATACTGTTGACCACAGTATCCTTATATCGTGATTAGAACACTGGGGTGGGATTACAGGTGCAGCATTAAAGTGACAGAAGCTTTTGTATTAACATTGGTAATATTTTATCTGTTTTATCTGCTTCAGTGCCTCTTTCCTGCGGGATTCCGCAGGGCTCGATCCTTGGACCTCTTCTGTTTTCAAACAACATTAGTCAGACTGTAGCTGACTTTGTGTCCAAAGACGGTGAATGTATGAAAAACACCAGACATTATTGAAGTCAAAAGTAATTTTAAAGAGCACAATTCATGGTGAGTCTGGAAGATAACCTATGGGTCAGGGGTCATAGTTAGAGGAGCGCATCTTCCCAAAGTATCTGCTCCATTTAGGGTCTATTCTGAGGAAACATGGTCTTTCTTTTCATTGTTATGCTGATGATTGTCAGATTTATCTGCCTTTAAAACCCAATAGTTCTTGCTCCATTCACCCTCTGTTAAAATGTCTTGATGACATTAAGTTTCAATTTTTTTTTTAGTTTTCACAATCAGAAAAGTAAAGTTGTGTTTAGTCCTAGCTCTACTGGTGTCTCTGTTCCTATAAACCTTGACTCTTTTGAGACACATCTTGAACAGTCTGTTACAAATCTCAGGATGGTTTTAGACTCTCTTTCTAAGTTTAATAAATAAATTCTGTTTTTCAGAAAATCTACTTCCAGTTAAGGCAGATAGTTAATCTGAAGTCAGTGTTGACCAGTTCTGACCTGGAGAAAATAGCCCATGTCTTCATCACAACCCGACTAGACTACTATGTCGGGGTCAGTCAGGCCTCCCTTTCACATCTCCAGCTCATCCAAAATACTGCAACTTGGCTCTTAACAAGAACTCGTAGGTTTGATCATATTTCATCATTTTATCCTCCCTTCACGTCACAGAATAGATTTAAAATTCTCCTGTTGACCTTTAAGTACCTAAATGGCCTTGCACCCTCATATCTCTCTGACCTACTTCAACCATATGTGCCTTCTCGGGCGCTGAGATCATCAGATCAACTGCTTTTGGTTGAAGCTCAAAGGAGCTCTGACTTTTTCAGTCGTGGCTCCTAAACTTAAGATAAGATAAGATAAGATAAGATAAGATAAGATAAGATAAGATAAGATAAGATAAGATAAGATAAGATAGAACTTTATTGATCCTGCAGGAAATTGTTGAAAAACTTGGGAACAATCTGCACCCCAACATAAGACTTCCTGTTTTTAAATACACTGACTTTTAACCCAGGGTGAATTTTGTTAGTCTTTTATTAATCTGTGTTCTGTTTATTTTCTTCTGATGCCTTTCAATTAATCCGTTTTGTTGTTTGTTCTTTTAATATCTGCCTTTTTCTTTTATTGTTCAGCACTTTGGTAACAATCTGTTGTTTCTAAATGTGCTTTATAAATAAATTTGACTTTGACCACCAGTGTCCTTGTCCACAGGTGTCCATAGCGTCTTTGTCCACCAGTGCCCTCATCAACTAGTGTCCATAGTGTCTTTGTCCACCAGTGTCCATGTCCATAATGAGACCAGTTCTATATCATCAGGGACTGAAGCTCCGCCTCCACAGCACATATATTTCTTCATGGATGACTGATTCTGACAGAATGCAGAATAAATTTAATCTCGTTTTAAAATGACTAAAGTTGTTTTTTGTGGAACTGCTCCACTCTGAAAAAGAATGGTTCTAATGAATCAACTGGATCTGACCATTACGTTCCTGAGGAACAATGGAACCTGTTGGGTGTGTGGATGGAGGAGATCTACCTGGAGCCCAGGACAGGGAGTAGACCACGCCTTCGTTCCCGGGGGACGTGTAAACAGCCGTTAGCGTGTTTGTGTCCCAGATTTTTATGGTTCCATCAAAACTTGCCGTGGCCAGCAGGTTGGGATCGTCAGGTTTGAACTTGCAGTCGAAGATGGTTTCTACATGACCCTGAAACCAATAAAGGCACACGGAGTCACACGGCAAGAACATGGGCCAAGCGTGTGGTCTGAGTTCAGGCAGAGTACCATGTCTCGCAGGAAGTCCCACTTCTTGGCACCCATGTCGTAGAGTCCCACGCCTCCGTCCATGAAGCAGCAGACCGCGTGGCCCGGAGGCAGAGAGAAGGACCGGTTCTGGGACAGGGTAGGAGGGGGGACCGCCTCACTGGTGGAACTGGTGTGCAGACTCTTACTGGGAGAACAGGAGCTCTGGGCTGAAGGATGACCAGAACCAAGTTTTAGTTTCTTTTCCTGCTTTTCTTTGAATCAATCACAGGAGGGGCTTTAGGTCGGTCTTCCTCTTTTCACATACAGGCCTCGGTTTTACCTGGTCCATATTTACCTGGTCCAGTTTTACCTAGTCCAGTTTTCAAGATAAAGGCTACCTTTCTTGGCCAGAGGGGAGCTGAGGACGTGCAGAGCGTGGAAGCCGGTCTTCTTCAGCTTGAAGCTGTCCAGCGGAGTGGGCCGGGACACGTTCCAAACTCTCAACACGCCGACCTGCGAGTCTGACACAAACAAGACGGTTCAGGACCAAAGCCTTCTTCAACAAACGCAGAGTCTGTCGTCTTCAGACTAAAATGTCCAGCTTGGTCAGGTAGCTTTTCTTGCTTTTAACTAGCCTTGCTACTTTTAGCATAAAGCGACCCATTTGCTATGTTAGCTTAGACCTAGCCTTTAGCTACTGTTAATTATCTTTTGCTACTTTAATTTTAAACACGTTGATGCTATTCACTAGTGTTTTGACACATGTATCTTTTAGCTAGCCTTTTGCTACTTTTAGCTAGCATCTTGTTATTTGTGCTTATATGCCACTTTTATCATTTAGTCAACCTTTTGCGTCTTTAGTTTATAGCTAGCCTTCTGCTACCTTTAGCTAGCCATTTACTACTTTCATTTTGGCTAACCTTTGGTGGCTTTTTTTGCTATAGCAGTCTTGCTAGCATAGCCTTGCTACTTTTAGCATTAAGCTACTTTTTTTTGCTACTTTTATCAAGCTTCTTTGACCTTTAACAGTAAATTCAGCTTCTTCAGCTGTAAAAACAATAATCCTTCAGCTGTTATTCCTATGCCTGTCTAATCTCATCCTGACACCAGGTGTTCTCGTGTTAATCTAACATTTCTCTGCACAGAACCCATCAGTGAGGAACACCGACACACACACACAGAACCTCATTGGTACCTCCGGTGATGAACATCCCTGGTGCTGAGGGGACCCAGGCCAAACACTGAACGGACGCCGCCGCCGAGGGGAAGCAGAAGGATGTGATGCACGCCAACGCCTCGCTGTCCACCAGCCGGATGCCATTATGGAGGTTAGAAACTGTGTAACACAGAGTGTGAGGCGGAATGGTTCACAGTTCAACCAAATCTTTACGTTTGTCAAACTCAGAACCAGAACTTTAAATAAAATAACTTGTTATTAAAAAAGACCCCGTTAGTAATCTGTCCCATGTTAATCCCCTCAGCTGACAGATTATTAGCCTGACCCAGTAAATAATCCGTCGATAAAGGGTCCCATTCCAGAGCGCTGACTGGGTCTTCCTCATCCGTTCCCTCCAAAGACTCCGGACGCAGAACATGTTTCTGACTTTTACTTCCTGAACAGAAGAACAGAAAAGAACGGGACATTAAAGAACACTTTTGATCAGTTTTACACACAGAGATGGATCAGATATTATAAATCCTTAAAATAATGAAAACTACATTAAACAAAAATTAAAAGTTAAATCTGTGGGTAGAAACTGAGTCCAGAAAGGGCCTCAGAAGTCCAGCATTAGGAGCTGCTGATGAACTGAACCTCATCAGGAGGTTCTGCTGGTGTGTTAACACAACGCCAAGATGGAAAGACATCAGCAATGACCTCATAGAAGCAGCTACTGCTGTCCGTCAATCTGCGAAGGGTCAAAGGTCACGTAGAGTCCATTGTTCTACAGAAAGATTCTTCATAAGAGGAGAATATTTCAGACAGCTGATTCACCCTGAAGGTCAGACTGTGCAGTGTCTCTACAGGCCATGGTCAGCAGGTCAAAGTTCATAACCTCTTCTCTCTAAAAGCAACATAGCAGCTGGACCTTCCTTGTGACTTTAAGCAAAAATAAAAACGGTCTTCTGTTTTTTACAACTTGATGTTTTTATTTTCACTCCTGCAGGCGTTTACCTGGTTGAAAAACAGACAAACTCCCGTCTGTGTGTCCGAACACCAGTTTGGCCTTCTTGGTCGGGTGCCATCTGAAGAGACAGATATCAGACAGGAAGGAGTGGGCTTCTTTGTGCACCGTGACCCCCGGCTCAGAACTTCGGTAGGCCCAGATGTAGAGCGGGCCTCGCTGAGAGACAAAGGCCACGCCGTCCGCCGAATTCCAGCACCAGCTGACGGACACGGGGACGCCTGAAGAAGACGAGAAAACTGTGAAGCTTTAAAGGGAACCCAGGGTATACACTCATATTGACCTTAATATGTTGTTATTTCTCTATTCTACTAAAAGTTGTTGTTTGTGACACATGAAAACTCCTAATTACTTTAAAAAAATCACATGTTTATTACATTTTACACCTACGGTGCAATGTATTCTGGGGTGATGACGCTGTAGTGGAGACTAAACCTAAAACACACGGACTCAAGAATACAAAGTTATAACATGTGACAATAAAATTATATTTTATATTAGTCCTTATGACCTATGACTTTAGCTCCTGAGTTAACTCATACATTAGCTCCTGAGTTAATGCCATATATATTAGCTCTGGAGCTAATGTCATATAGATTAGCTCCTGAGATAACTCATATATATTAGCTCCTGGGTTAACTCATATATATTAGCTCCTGAGTTAACTCATATATATTAGCTCTTGAGTTAATGCCATATATATTAGCTCCTGAGTTAATTCCATATTAGCTCTGGAGCTAACGTGAAAGCGGAGTCATGACTCCATTCTCCTTTCTGTAAAACTCTCTGTTTCAAATTAAAGGGCTGAACATGAGAAAATGTCCAAAATTAACATTCAAGCTGAAAGAAGCTCGTACTGGAGCAGCCTGTCTACGTAATTTACCCAGAAAACATTGCAGTTTATATAAAATGGCGACATCTGTGTAATTAATTTTTAAACATTTATAAAACTAAACAGCCTGCAGTATTTGTACGGTTTTGTTTTTATAACTGAGGTAAAGTAATTGTTTATTAAAATAAGGTCTGTTGTTCCTAGTATCCTACAGGAGCCTTAGGAGATCCTTTTGAAGATGGAGATGAAGAGGATCGTTAGCAGCAGGTATCATCATCGTCCTCTCACCTTTGGTGTTGTCCAGTCTGGCCACAGCCTTCTTCTCTGCCACGTTCCAGATGATGAGCAGGTTGTCAGCAGAGGCTGACGCAAACAGGTCGGGGTTGTCGGGACACCAACTGATGGCCGTTATGGTCTTCTTGTGTTCGGACATGATGGACCTCAGCTTAAACTCATTATACTGCTGGTCCAACTGCAACAAGGTAGAACAACACCTGGGGTCAGGTAGAACTCGGGGAGGAACCTTCAGGTCAGTCTAACTAACCTCTGAGATCCTGAGAAAAACTCATTCTGTCTTATAAACAAATAAAACCATCAAAATGTATAAATTTAAGATTAGTTCAGCTGCCATGAACTGAACCTGCTGGAACACCAGAGCCCCCGTCCACCTACGTGAGTCCCTGTCCACCAGAGATCTTGTCCACCAGAGACCTTGTCCACCAGAGATACTGTCCACCAGAGATCATGTCCATCAGAGTCCTTCTCCACCAGAGTCCCTGTCCACTAGAGACCCTGTCCACCAGAGACTCTGTCCACCAGAGACCTTGTCCACCAGAGACCTTGTCCACCAGAGTTCCTGTCCACCAGAGATCATGTCCATCAGAGCCCTTCTCCACAAGTGACCCTGTCCACCAGAGTCCCTGTCCACTAGAGACCCTGTCCACCAGAGACTCTGTCCACTGGAGTCCCTGTCCACCAGAGACCATGTCCACCAATGACCCTGTCCACCAGAGTCCCTGCCCACCAGTGACCCTGTCCAACAGAGACCCTGTCCACCAGAGTCCCTGTCCACCAGTGGCCCTGTCCACCAGTGACGCTGTCCACCAGAGTCCCTGTCCACCAGTGATACTGTCCACCAAAGACTATGTCCGCCAGAGACCCTGTCCACCAATGACCCTGTCCACCAGTGACCTTGTCCACCAGAGACCCTGGCCACCAGAGTCCTTGTTCACTAGAGTCCCTGTCCACCTAAGTTTGACACCACTGTGGACTGGGAGGACCAAAAAAGAAGCTCAGAAATTTTCAAGTTGGACTGAAGCCTGCACAGACAAGACAAATGTCTTCTGGAGAAAGGTTTGATGGTCGTTTAAGACAAAGTCTGAGTTGTTTTATACAAAGACAATAAGGACCTTTGAAGGAGTCAAGATGAGGTAATCAGATCTCAGAACCAACTGTCAGGCATGGTGGTGGTAGCATCATGCTGTGGTTAAAAAAAGGAGGACTACCTCCAAAATCTTCATGTCAAACCAACAGCTGGACAGGTACAACGTGGACCCAGCTGAGTCCAACAGGACCATGATCCCAAAAACAAACATCAGGACTGGTCTCTGATTGAATAAACCAGACTAACTTCTGGACCCGGCCGCACCACAACATCAACTTGATGGAGAACTCGAGAACTTGGGAAACCAACCTGTTTAAATGAACTCTACCAAGAAGACAGGTCAGATATCAGCAGAGTTCTGTCAGAACCTGGTGGAGACCAAGAGCCTGAGGTCCAGAAGACACCAGCTGAGAGACATTTGACCAAGTATCAGTGGGACTGTCTGGATTTATTGGACCCACTCAGGTCAGAAAAATAATAATCCACAGTAGATTTAAAGTAGTTTTAAAAATCCCTGAAGTCGTTTGTTGTGGATTAATTCCACACGGGAAATAAACGGTTTAAAAAGTTTAAATTAACTCCTGACTACAGCAAAGACAAACAAATAAGCAAACCTGATCTGACTTCGCTTCTCAGTTTAAGTTACAAATCATTTTGTTGCCATCTGTAGTTTCTTCCACGTTCTATTTCTTTTTGAAGATCGATTTGTTTTGTTTGTGATAATTTACAACCTTTACAAATGTTCAAAAACCACCGAGGTTCATTGAAAACTTCATTTTCTACAAAGTGAACAACCTGATAGAAAGAAACCCTGAAGCAGGACAGTGTGACAGGTGTGTTTGAGCCCCGACAGGTGAGTCGGCTCACCTGGTAGACGTAGATGGCCAGGGTGGCGCAGTAGGCGAAACGGTCTCCGCTCGCTGCGCACACGTCTTTGTTCCAGGGCTGACAGCCGGCCGCCAGGAGGCCCACCTGCTTCACCTTGGCCATCCTCACCTGCACACACCAACTAGAAGTCTGAGTCCAGGTCCGGTCGATGAACGTTCAGGTTTACAAACTCAGAGGAGATGTTTCTGGATCTACAGAGTTTAAAAATGGTTCCTGAACCCAACGATGGGTCAAGGGAGGTCTTAAGAAACCTGTTGTCAAGCGACCTCGTCTTCTCAGATGGAAATCAGCTGATTTATATTTAAGCAGATCTTTTCTGTTAGACGGGATCATCTGCTCGTAACGATGAGCCGTAAGGACGGAGGAACATTCAAAAACAGGAAGGAGTCACCCTTCCTTCAGTTAAAGAACGATCATCCAACCTGCAATGCCATAAGGAGTTAGTCCCTCGCTACTTCGCGGTTCGACTTTTGCGGACTCGCTCTTTCACGGTTTTTCAACGATTGTCAACTTTAATATTACTCATGTGATTGGGATGGTATGAGATAAAAAGTTCATGAAAAAAAAATACTTCGAACAAGCGCCCTAAGCCTCCACTGTGAGGCCAGTCAAAACAACTACACTACCCAGAAGCCAACAGTGCTTCCGGCCGCTGCTTTTTGCCGAAATGGAGGGAAAGTTTTGATCCGATTCGAAACTGACTATAGTGACTTCAGCGCTCAGTGGATGCAGAGAGCCGACCGGGAATTGGACCAGGACTACTTCCAGCCTCATCGGTCAATCTGAGTGCTCTGTGCTGGCCCAGGAAGCCTCTCGAGCGGAGGAGCGTTGCTCGGAGGTCCGGTGTCTTCTCCGGAGTTCACCCGGACTTTTTTTCATCCGGATCTGTCTGGATTATTTGGACTCGAGCGAGACCATTGTGTGGTTTTGTGCTGGCACTCCAGGTCCGGCTCTCTTCAAAAGTGTCTGGTGCTCAACGGCTTCAGAGAGTCGATCAGAACCAGACCAGAACTGGACCAAGGCTGGTGAGTACCTACATAGAATTTTGCAGTAGCTGTGCAGTACATATATGTATGTTGTTAAAATTACATAGGTTTAAGAGTTTAGAACATTGCAAGAGTGTGGGAAAGGTTTATAAAGCCTTAATATATACATATAAATACTAAAATAAATATGTTTACTTCAATTTTTTTTTTTTTATTACCTATAATAATAGAGCTTTGGAACATATGTCACTGCGTTGGGGGCGTTCCCATCTCAACCACCATTTTTATAGTCCTCAGAAAAAAAAATTGTTTTGTCACCGCTGTATCCTCCTTCATAACGCTGAAAAGCAGCTCAAAACAAAGTGGACTATATCGTGACAAACTTCTCCCAGATGATTAAAAACGGTACATGGAAAAAATAGGTAGAATTGGAAATGTCGCCCCTTTGAAAAAATATAAAAGGTGCAGTGACCCGGAGTAATATTTGCCTCCACTGACATTCCCAGCAGACCTGGTGTGTGTCACCGCAAATAATTTAAAGAATTACAAGTTACTGGAAGCGCTGGTCCAATCTGTGAAGGGCTGGGTGGATGATTTGGACATTTTTAAAACCCCGGATTGAGAATATGTTGTGGTTTGAACAAAAGGTACGTTGTTCTTGGCTCGTTAATGTTACATAAATTATTAATGTACATCATTTTAGAATCAATCAACCTTCTGTATGTCGTATTAAAAAATTGTGAACACTTGATTTTTAAAGTATATTTTTAATTGATTTACAAAGCTCCAAGTTGAAATGGTTAATTACCTTATTTTTAATGACTTGAGCTCATCTAATAACAACATGTAGACTTCAAATATTGATTAATTATTTTATTATATATATATATATATACATAAATATATATATGTATTAAAATACACAAATAGATATATTATAATTCTGTCTTTTCATTCAGCATTTTAATTGTGTTCACAGGTTCTGCACTCTCAGAGTCTGAGCCACCAGAACACCGTGGGTCATGCTGAGCAACACTGTGTCTACTCAGTGCAAACAAAATGGAGTGTGAATCATGAGGATGATGCTCCAAAGGCAAACATTAAAATTACAGCTAGCTGTACAAAAATCCAAAAGTTAAATGCGGTTTCATCATAAACACCAACTGAACTTGGAGCATCTCCTGATGGACTCAGTGTGTGATCGCTGCTGCCTGGAGAAAGTCATGCAGCATCCAGCAGTCCGTGGAGGCAGGCAGTGAAGTTCACCATCATCCATACTATGCACAGGTACATCATCAAACCACTGTGACCTTGTGTGGAGCCAGAAAGACATGGCTGTCGTCATGTGTCTCCAGAGCAGGAATTCTGTGAAGCTCGTCTACAGAAAGCACGAAGCTTCTTAAAGATATTTCTCAGAGCACGTTTGTACTGCAGCTTCAAGGGAGACATAAATATGTAAATCATGCTGTTCACTTATAACTTGTCCAACTTGTTCTAGAATTGCGCCGCTCCAGGTGGCTGCATGTTGGAGCAGCTCTGTTACGTTCATTCTGACATTTTGCTTTTGGAAACTTTAGTTCCTCTTTTTCTGGATGTAAATCACATTTTTTGGATGATTGTTTCCTCTGGTATCGGATGCTGTGCAGCTGGAAGGATTTTTACTCAAACTCTTTTAGTTTTGGACATTTGTTATGATGCGTAACCATGGCAACAAGGCAGTTGTCTACAACCAACAGCAGCTGATCAACATCTCAAAAGCTCAAATAATATCTCAGCTACAGCCCCTAATTTCAAACGAGTTGAAAAGGATGTTATGTGGATGCATTCTCATCTACCTGCCAGCTGTGCTCGAGTGCCTGACCACTGAGATCCTGGAACTAGCAGGAAACACGGCTCATGACAGTGGAAGGACAGGATCGTCCCTCGGAACCTACAATTGGCTGTCTGCAGCGACGAGGAGCTCGGCAGACTGCTGGGAGGAGTGGCCATCGCTCTGGGAGGAGTTCTGCCAGGCATTTGGGTGGTCCTACAGTCCAGGGGAACCGAGAGGCCAGCCGAGTCTGGGTGGACGGATCGGACGGCATCTGCAGCCAGTTTCTTAGTATCCACTGTGGGATGGACCTTTACAACAAGTGATCCTTCCTGCCTACAGCCATCAGCATCTATAACATCTTTAATGAAATGAGGATAACGAGTTACAACAAAATAATTTCCCTCTGGGATTAAAGAAGTATTTTTGAAGTTGAATATTTGCACATTTTGTGTATAAATTTTCTATGAAATGTATTACCTCACACAATGTTCATCACATTTGTTACTAGAAAAGTTTAATTACATAAAATGATTACTTCAAAATAGGATCTGTTTCATTACATGTTTATTTCTTGTCTGAAATATGTTAATACATCAAATGTTTACTACAAATGTGATCAATTTCATCATGTTTACATGTTCCCTAAAGTGATGAATCAAATGTTTCATCAAATCAAATGTTTAACAACATTGTGCATTTGTTTCTCATGCAAACAATCACACTACTGCAGAACTTCAGCTCTGATGTTTAAACTCAGTTGCCCCTCCCCTTTTTCTGCAGGAGAGGCGGGAATCACCATGGCAACCAGTGCATCAGCAGATGGGTCAAATATTATTTTATTCTAACATGGCCGCCCCAAAGATCCTCTTTAAAACAGTCCCTGCAGAAAACACAGATGATGGTTCTGGAGACAGGACAAAGCGTCCCTCAGGTCCACGGAACCGGAACCTGTCTTGCAGAACGTTTTGAAGTAAATGAAGGCTTCTGTCTTAACTTTATTAAACTCCATGAGCTACGGTCACCTGGTCAAATTTTCTGCGTTTTACTTTTTAAAACTGGAGTCACAAAGACCTGTATGATGCAACGTTTTTACCTTTTTAACAAATGTTTTGTTCAAACGTGCAAAAGTACAAATATCAACTTTTCCATTTAGTTTTGAACTGTAAAAAGAATAAGAGTTATATTTTATTTAAAGCTTCTAGCTCAGGGGTCACCGCCTCCAATGGACCGAAAATGGTCCCCAATGAACAAGAAGAGGCCAGCGGGCCAGCAGTTGATGATCACAGCATGCTTTGTGGCCCTGGACCCATTTTGTTCAGCAAGTGATGGGTCAGAACCGGCTCTTTGGACTGTTGCTGAGCCCTGGACTACAGAAACAGGACCAAACCGTCAGGTGGACCCGAAACTGGTTCCGTTTGTTTCAGGAGACAGCAAGGAGATTTATTTGGACTGACTGGTGAGCAGAACCTTCCAGCCTGATGGGGATGAATCACAGTGTAGTCAGAACCTGGACCAGGTTCTGGATCACACCTGAAGTAAAGCCCGAGGCCAGCTCGGCTCTGAGCCGGTAGTCACACCGCTCCTGGTGGTCTCGGGTTCTGGTTCTGAGAGGCTGCGCACTCCGATTAATTCATTTAAAATCCGCCGGAAGAGAATTAAAATAACTAATTGAAGGAGCGAGCTGAGCTGCCAGTTCCGACCCACACCGGACCGGGTTTGGGTCGGAATGCCATCAACAGGTTTCAGAGAAACTAATCCGTGACCGACGGTTCTGAAACACCTGCGCGTGACGTTCCTGCGCGCGGCGGCGGACAGACGTTATATCCCGACCAGCGCCTCTCACCGTGTTAGTTTTCGTTGTGTACGGCGGCTCGTTGCGTGTCCGTTTCCCGCTCTTACCGTCAGGTGCTGGCAGGCTCGCGCGGACAGCTCCCAGGTGCTGAAATGTGTCGCTGCTGCTAAAGCGAAGACCGCGCGAGGCTACAGCGCCGTCGCCTCTGATTGGTCCACGGGAGCCAGAGTTCTGATCTGCGATTGGCTGAGGGGCGTGTCAATCAGAATGCTCATCCTGTCTCAAGGATAAAAGGAGCTCGTCCCGAGTTCAACTACTTTATAAACCTCAGAACTGCAGTCTTGTGATGATTAGTCTATATGGATAACTTTTATGAATCTGTGTAAAGTTTAATATTTGGTATTTAATATCACAAGGCCTGTTAAACCAGTTTGAGCCTAACCTCAACATTTACCAACTTTGCCTTAATTCCAGTTAATCATTTTAGTGACCAGATCAAAACTAGTTATGCTCAAAACATAAACCATTAAAAACATTTAACTTTAAAAAGATAGGAGAACTAAAAGTCCAGATGTAATCAATATACAAAATTTTATTATAAAAGAAAAATTCGTTCTACAAGTCTTCAAGTTCCACTTTAAAACGGCTGCAAACATTTTCAAATTGAAGCTACAGATAAATCCTGAAGTAAAACAGTGAAGAAACGAACGGCGCCGGAACAAAGAGCGGCGCCTCCAGAAACAATATTTAAGAGTAGAGGAAAAAAAATCTGGCTCTGCTGTCCACCTAAGGAGCGGTTAAACAGGATCTACGATGTAACAAACCCGAGTTCAGTAGAAAGACGTGGATAAAACTAAATCCCTGAATGAGTCCAGGTCTGGCAGACCCACGTGGACAGCAGGCTACATGTTGCAATCATCCACACAGAAAGAAAACAGGAGTTAATCTGAACAATGCATCGCAAACTTCACATCAAAACAACGCTTATTCATCATCATCATCCTCGTCGTCATCGTCCTCCTCCTCCTCATCTTCCTCGTCGTCGTCGTCATCATCATCGACTGGTTCTGCCTTCTTGGCAGAAGGCCTGCCGGGTCCGCTCTTCTTCCCGGCGTCGATCTTCCCGGAGCTTCCCTTGGCTTTGTAGGCAGCGACGTCCTGCGCAGACAAGACGTCAACTTCAGCCAGACACAACCAGAACCTCACAGAACCAGCAAACACCGGAGGACGCTCACCTTCTCGTACTTCTCCTTCAGTTTGGCAGCCTTGGCCTCGTACGGCGCCTTGTCTTTGGCGCTCTGCGTGGACCACAACTCGCCGAGCTTCTTGGCCACGTCTCCGATGGAGATGCCAGGGTTCTCCTCCTTGATCCGAGGACGGTGGTCGGAACAGAAGACGAAGAAAGCAGAGCTGGAGACAATAAAATGATAGTTTTAAATGCCAGACGTCTCCAGCACAAGGCAGAAATCTGAGTGAACGTGGACTTACGGAGGCCTTTTGGGGGCATTTGGGTCCTTCTTCTTCTTCCCCTTCTTGGCACCTTTGGGAGGAACGTAAGTTTTCATCTCCCGGTCATAACGGACCTTATCGTTCTTGGCCATCTCGTCAAACTTGACCTTCTCCTTGCTCGACATGGTCTGTAAAGGAAAGATTTAGTTTTCCCACACCGCCTTCAGAAGCTGATCCCAGATCAGTTTAAAAGCAGCTCACCTTCCATCTCTCCGAGCACTTCTTGGAGAACTCTGAGAAGTTCACGCTGGTTCCTGGGTGTTTCTTCTTGTGCTCCTCGCGGCACGTCGCCACGAAGAACGCGTAGGATGAGGTCTTCCCTCTGGGCTTGTTCGGGTCCTTCGTCATTGCTGCAAATAAGCTTCAAAACGAAACAAAACTTCGATAAAAGAACCAACAAAATTGAAAAAAATAATGTCTAAACGCATCAACATAGATAAAGCCGTGTTTATTGTATCGAATAATCGTGCTGAAGTGGTCAGGAGGAGTCGGGACAGACGGTTTCAGACTAATCGGATTTCTGTCTCTGCGGTACAAAAACACCAGACTCCATTTTGTATCTTCCCGCCTAAACGACGACTGCGCCCAAAACTTCCCCGATCGAGCCGAACCAGATCAATTCAACAATTTTCGCATACAACCGCTTTAAACTTCTCCCCAAACACCGCCAAGAACCGGGTCGGAACCGAGCTGCGGGCTTCGGCTCGACAGTAATGTCGGAGTTTCCGTCGAAGAGAGGCCGAGCCTAATGGCGTTTGAACTGCGCACTATAACTGGGCCACACCAGCAGCACAGAACCAGTCCAAAAGCAGCGAAACTCGACGAAAACTGCACGTTTTATTTCTAATTTAAGACAAAACGACAGGTTTCTTCATTAAAATCATCATTAAATTCGTTTAAATTTTTTTATTACGAACAAAAAAGTCAAATAAGTTCACTTTAAATCATTAAACCAAGCAAGCGAGCGACACGGTCTCAAATTAAGAATAAATATTTAGAATTATTACGCAGGAAACGAAAGAAAGGGTCTCAGAAGAAGCGAGTCTTTACCTGCTTTCAGCGAGACAAGTTGTGGGCGCGTGAACGAGGAAGAACACGCAACTGTTTTGTCACTCGCCGTGAGGCCGCACTAACTTGGCTAAAACTGGTTCTGAAGCTCCGCCTTCCTGTGCGCTGATTGGCTGATGTTAGTCACTTAATTTTAAAAGCGGGGCACGAGACACAACGATGGCTACGATTGGTTGTTCCCAGTGACGTCAGACCATCAGTTTACGTTGCGTCGCCTTGACGCTGATTGGCTGCTCCGGACTTTTAAACACACGGCGCGAAAACAGCGCTTTGTTTGCTGAAAACAGCCGATGGAAGCTGACTAACGTCTGCAGCTGCAGCCAACTGTTAAAAACAGCCGGTTCGCTTCTGCTGCAGTACGAGATCACTCCGTGTTAGGCCACAGCTTAAACAAAGGCTTTAGCCTGATATAAAACTGGGCAAAGACAGTAAGGTCTTTGGACTGAAAATAAACCCACAAATTAAACAGATTGAAGGGAACTCACATCAGATTTCAGCTAGTTCAAGTTCAAGTATTTTCATTGTCATTTGCATCACATGTGGTAGGCTGCATGAGGTGGAACGAAATTGTGTACTCAAGGTCCCAGTTACATCCAAACATAGCAACAATTAAAAGCATAAAAAGAAGCAGTGTATAAGAACACTATTGATCCCGCAGTAAATTGTTGTGCCAGAGTTCAATACAAAGGAATACACACAAAGAATCACATAAGGATCTAAGGTGTACGCTACGCGAAGCGAATGCTAGACAATACACTAAAAGATCTAAGATATACGCTAAACACTAATAATGTAAAATAATACGGTATATTGGCCCTGTGATGGACTTGCGACCTGTCCAGGGTGTACCCCCCGCGACCCAAAAAGGAAGAAGCGGGTAAAAGATAATGGATGGATGAATACGGTATATTAAAAAGCAGCCCGAACACGAGTCTGTAGTGAGATGGGTATGATGAAAAAAGCAGCATGAGATAGTCAGCAGCATGAGATCAGCAGCATAGATAATCAGCAGCATAGATAATCAGCAGCACAGATATCACCAGTTAAAGTGGCATTACAGTGATTTTTTTTTCTTACATAGCCTGGTTAGGGATTTATGAGTCTAACAGCTTCAGGGTAGATGCTGTTCCATTGTTTTTTGTTTTTTTTAATCTTTATTTAAACTAATGGCATGTACAACAAACAAACAAATGAAGCATACAGAGTAACACAGCACACAAACAACCAGAGGTGTTAATTAGACAAATGCATGCAAAGATTTTGTCCTGAGGACCTTTTCGTTGGTAGAGTCTGTGATGGTTTCATATCCTTAATCAAATGAAGAAAACATGGCGTTTTATTAATAAATTTACATTTATGTAAAATTTAGTCAAAATAATTAGCAAGTTTATTATAAAAAACATTTAGCAGGCTTTCTGTGTAATCTAGAATTTATTTTTATTTTTTTCCAAACGTAAGGGAAAATGCTGCAAAATATGGTTATAAATAAATCTGCTAAACTCCTTACAAAACCTGCGTGTGAAAGGACAGCGCCAAAAAAGATGTCACAGTTTAAGACACCACAAAAACTACAATTATTTGTGTCTCTGTTAAATTTGACCATATAATGCTTAGCAGGGTAAATTTTATGAAGAATTTTAAATGACACTTCCTTCAACTTATTTAACTAACAGCCTCAGGGTAGAAGCTGTTCCTCAGTCTAGTGGTTCTACACTTAATGCTCCACAACCTCCTTCCTGAGGGGAGCGGGGCAAAAAGTGTGTGCTGGGTGAATGTGGTCCTTCATGATGCAGGTGGCTCTCTTCCTTCATCTGGAGGTGTAGATGTCTGTGATGGTGGGGAGACTGACTCCAACAGACTTCTGTGCAGCCTTCACCACTCTCTGCAAAGCTTTTCTTTCTGCAGCTGTGCAGCCTCCATGCCACACGTTGATGCTGGAGCACAGGATGCTCTCCTGCACACCAGTAGAAGGAGGTGAGGACTGAGCTTCCCAGACCAGCTCGCCTCAGCCGTCTGAGGAAGTAGAGTCTCTGATGAGCTTTCTTGATCAGGCTGGTGGTGTTGTTGCTCCAGCTGAGTTTGTCATTCAGGTGCACACCCAAGTACTTGTGGGGCGGGGTTGTTCCTTCTGGAATCCACAATCATCTCCTTTGACTTCTTTACATTGACGTGAAGGTTGTTCTTCCTGCACCAGCTCTCCAGGTGTTCCAACTCCTGCCTGTAGCCAGACTCATCATTGTTTGTGATGCATCCCACCATCGCTGTCCATCCATCCATCCATTATCTTTACCCACTTCTTCCATTTTGGGTCACGGGGTTCGCTGGTGCCCATGTCCAGCAATCACTGTGCGAGTGGCGGGGTTCACCCTGGACGGGTTGCAAGTCCATCACAAGGCCGCATAGAGACAAACGAGACAAACAACCATTCACTCTCTCACTCACACCTAGGGACAATTTAGTTACCAATCAGCCTAACATGCATGTTTTTGGTCTGTGGGAGGAAACCGGAGTCCACCATCGCTGTATCATCTGCAAAATTTACAATATGACAGCCTGGATGGGTAGGTGCAGTCATATGTGAGCAGAGTGAACAGGAGGGGACTCAACACACAGCCCTGAGGGGAGCCAGTCCTGAGGGTGGTGGACTACTACCACCATAACTACTGCCTAAATATTAAAGTTGTAACAGACAAAAACATGAATTTACAGTTGATCTTTGCTGTTAAAGTAGAGGTCTGTATTCGGGTCAGAACCGGGTGAATTATAGCTTCCAGTGAAAGTTGATAACATCAAAACTTTAAACCTCCTCATAAATCAAACTCTTGGAGATTTTCCTGTTCACATTTATTCTGATTATTATAACATTCTGATGTGTTCATCAGTTTTAGGTCTTCTGGTTGCATGGACACTAATCTGGTCAAGAAACCAAAACCTGAGTAGCTGCAGCATTAAAGGGATAGTTCAGACATTGTGAGGTGAACGCTCACATCAGCAGGTAACGGCTTCAGCAAACTCAGCACATACTTCATTCAGGAGAAGGTGCCACAACTTTTATTATTTGTAACTTTTACATTTACATTTTTTAAAACGTCCAACATGATACTTTTCTTTAAGCTCAAAATAACTAAACATTTTTATAATCCACATTTTGAATCAAAGCAGAAAGGTTCGGTTTACATGGAGGGGCGGAGCTTAAAAGGATCTCTGACCACCTGCACCTGTTGTTGTTTCTCTTTTCTAAAAGTTGTTCGAGACACAAGAAAACGTTGAATTGCTTGTCGATGTTTATTTCATTTGTAAGGACCGGTTCCTGTTTGTGTGTGTCCGTTTGTGTATTTCAGGCTCCGCAGGTAACTGGGAATAGGAGGCAGCTAGCCGGAGTCTCCAGAGGAGCTTTTCAGAAACGAGCTCCCACTTTCTTTCTGCCAGATTAATTTTGGTTTAGTCGAAAATAAAACTTTTTTTGTTATTCCTGTGAGCTTCTCCTTTTTTGTTACAATCGTTGAGCCACGACCTACGGCTTTCGCCATTATTTTACCGGTGCAATGCATTCTGGGTGAAGATACCCAGCAGTTGCAGTGGAGACTAACACAAAGAGTCAAAGCTAAAAGGTCTTAATGTTTCACAATAAAGTTCTATTCTGTATTAGTCACAATATTTGGGTCGAAACGATCAAACGTGATGTTTAGTAAATTAGCTCTGAAGCTAACGGGCTTAAGCTGAGCCACCCCCTCAAACCTCCATCCTCCATCAGAAGGGGGCACAGGACTGCTGTCACACGTGCGCACTCATGGTGATCGATGAGTGTTGTGTGTTGCTCTGTGGTCTGAGTGGACCCAAGTTATAGGCGTTACGTCAGCTTCAGAACCTTCTTCTTCTTTCGGCTGCTCCCTTTCTCAGGTGTGGCCACAGCAACACGGCAGCAGCGTGAGCACGGAGGCCCAGGCACCTCTTCCAGCTCTTCCGGGAGCTCTCCAAGGTGTTTCCAGAACAACCAAAAGACTCGCCAGAGTGTCCTGGATCTTCCCCGGGGTCTCCTCCCAGTTTGACATGTCCAGAACACCTCCTAGGGCGGCATCCAGGGAGGTGTACCTAGAGTTTGGCCTCTGGTCACTTGTGGCTTCAGCTTCCACCTTCTAGTCTCGTCTCTAGTGAATAAAAGGACAAAATATTGTTAGTTTTTAGTTATTATTAGTTTCAAGTGGATTAATGCCATCTCAACAACTCTGATCTTTAACAATTCATCCAAATGTCTCGATTTATTGAAGTGATTTCAAATTGTTTTGATTTAACTGCACCTCCTCTAGTTTTAGGTCCACTCAAGACTGAAACATTAAACCTGCAGGCCGAAGTCGATTAGTTGTGGTGGTCATCTTGATTTATGTTGACAAAACATAACCAGTTGCAGTAATAATTACTTCTGAAATTCCATTGGAATCTGTCCCGTGGCTCATGAGATTTTTTGCTAACAGTAAATTTACTGATGTTTACTAATGTGGTAGACTTGAAAAGCTGATGCCAAGGTTTGAAGTAAAAATGTTGTGCAACATGTTGCACTATTAGGGATGACTCAGTCTCAGCTACCACCAAGCTAAACTTTAGCTAATCATCTGTAAAAGTGGCTGAATTCGAGCCAACTTGTTCGTTTTCTTAGATTGATGTGCTGTGGCGGCCATCTTGAACTGGATTAATTATCAATGTTTGAAAATTGCATTAAATTCCTATAATTAATTTGAAATTTTGCTAATAAAAACTTATCATGTATGTGGATAATAACTTATCCTAAAAAAATGTTCTCTCCATTTAACTCCCCTCCCCCTCCATCACGTGACAAGGTTTCCACGCGGGGACTGGTTTGATTGGCAGCGGGAGGAGGAGACATGGACATCCGTCCTCCCACAGACCGAATGTCTCTGGTCCCTCCTGTCTGTCAGTGAAGCTGAAGGTTTCTGTGGTTCTGACAGCTGGACCGAACCGAACTGGAGCAGAGGTGGACACGCGTAGCGCGTGCTTCATCAGAGACACAATGAGTGAAAACACCGCGGACACGAGCACGCTCTGCCTCTTTGATGTTGACGGTACGCTCACGGCCGCGAGACAGGTAAACAATGTTTGTTTGTGGGAAAACAAAAACAAACCCCGATCAGACCGACAGGAGACGTGTACAGCTTGTTATTAAAACTTCCGGTTCCACGTCTCTGCTGAAGTCCGTCAGCAGGAACTTACCGGGCAGCGCAGTCCGCACCGTAACGAGCTCCCCGGAAACAAAATACTTTAGTGAAAAAGTAAAAAAAAAAAAAAAAAAAAAAGCTTTTTTTCGCGATGAAATCAAAATAAAAGTATGTAAATGTTCACTAAGCGTGTGCTTTTTTATTTAACTTGTTAGCATTATTTCAGTCTAATCCAACAAGAGTAAAAGACCGATCATCCTCATTTAGTTTTTTTCAGGTAGTGACACAAACAAAAATATTGTTTTTGTAGTTTATACACAATGTGCTTATAGTTTAAACATTTTATTTAAACGGTTAATATAACACTCTTAAAGTGTGTGTGTATCTTGTTATTAATGTATAAAAACTCTTAATTGCTAATAATAATAGTTGTTTGTTTGAAAAGGTAGCATGCTAACAGTTTCCGTTGGTTTCTGCTAGCATCGTGGTAACAGCTGAAACCAGCATGCAGGTTTGTTGGGGTTTAGTTCTGTAAAAATATTAACAAATAAAACCATAGACAGGAGTCAACAACACAATTTTTTTTGGTTTAAATAATTTGCTGCAGTTTTTAAATATGTAATTGTGTTATATTTAGAAATGAAGACATATTTGTGCACAAAGGTCTTCTTGCAGGTCCAAACAGAGCTTCCACTGAAACATCTGCAGCCAGATGTTCCCGTCTCCTGATTTTATTTAATTTTCCTTCATTAAAAACGGCTCGGTCAGACCCAGTTGGTCGAAGTAGCAGCTTTGTTGTTCTTGCTGCATCTGAGTCAGTTCATGGTTTAGGTGAACAGGAACCAGTTGTGTCCTGTTTAATGAAGTTAAGTCGGGTCCTCTGGACGTTCGAAAAACAAAATCAATCAAACAAAAAAAAAGTAGAAACGTTTCGTCTTTCATCTGAAAGACTTCTTCAGTCTGAGGTGCTGTATTCAGCTCAGTCTTATAAATGGCACCTTCGCATAGTGGATCAACCAGTTTGACAATCAAAACCAGCTGATCACATGATCAAGGAGGACCATCAGCCTAACGATGGATCGTTACCACCCTGATGGTTCTTGCTATTCACAGAGGGCTGAGTGATACTAGCAATAACAGCATTGTAAGAGGGGGACAGCTGAACATGGAGGCCTCCACCCCTGTTTAATGATGGACGATTTCTTTTTACAAAGATGGCCTCCTTTACTGCTCTCTCAAACCATCGTTCCTCTCTATCCAGGATGTGAACATCTTCATCCCTGAAAGAGTGACCTCTGACCTGGAGATGAGTGTAGACCGCAGAGTCCTGGCCTGATGATGTCGATGCGTTTTTTTTTTTTTGAACGTCCAGAGGAGTTAGATGTTTCTACCTGGATTATTGAGCATGCATCAGGACAGTTGTGTCCTGGTTGAGGGTGATGGAATCAGAGGACCATCCAGCCTGAACCTGAGATGGACTTCTGAATACATGTGTGTTTTCAGGCTGCTACTCCTGAAATGAAAGAGTTCCTGAGGAAGTTGAGGACTCGGGTTCGAGTCGGAGTGGTTGGAGGGTCAGACCTGGTGAAGATCCAGGAGCAGCTTGGAGATGACGGTGAGTTGGTTGATCGGTCACAGATCAGTCTGTGATGGACTCGATCTGTCTGACTCATTGAGTTTTCTCTTCACAGTGATCCAGAACGTGGACTATGTGTTCGCAGAGAATGGACTGGTGGCCTATAAACACGGACAACTGCACTCGATCCAGGTGAGACAGACAGGTAAACATTGTTTTAAACAAAAACTTACTCGTGTTAAAAGGAGGTTCGTTTGTTCTGCTCCTTGTGTTCAGTCCATCCAGGCCCACATGGGAGAGGAGCTGCTGCAGGATTTCATCAACTTCTGTCTGAACTACATGGCTAAAATCAAACTGCCCAAGAAGAGGTACACACAGATCCAGTCCCTGCTTCAGTAGAAGACCAGAAACTTTAATCAGAACCTTAAATCAGAATACAGACCAGCCTAAAGTCACAGGATCAGACAGTTGACCCGTTTGGTCTGAGGCCTTTAAACAAACATCAGATTCCACTGAGCCGTTATTTATTTAAGGAAAACCAAACTGAAATGAAAAAAAAAAAAAAACAGTTTCGAGACCCAAAAGCCTTAAATTAAAGGAGGGTGGCCTCTTCTTCTGTTGACTGTAATTGTTGGAAAGTAAATCCAGATGTTTGAATTTTTTTAGGGGAACTTTCATTGAGTTTCGTAACGGGATGTTGAACGTGTCGCCCATCGGCCGCAGCTGCACGCCGGAGGAGCGGAGGGAGTTTTATGAGCTGGATCAGGTCAACTGAAGGCAGATTCAAGTTCAGCTCAAAGATTTTCATTATTCGTAAAAAATAAGAATCTGTGTTTTGTTGTTGTAGAAAGAAAAAATCCGTGAGAAGTTTGTTTCCGTGTTGAAGGAGGAGTTCAAAGGAAAAGGCTTGTCCTTCTCGATCGGTGAGTCCGGCTCTTTAATGGCAGCTGCAGGTTTCCTTTAACGTGGACAGACCTTCAGACGTTCTCCGTGTTCTCCTGCAGGGGGGCAGATCAGCTTCGACGTGTTCCCCGACGGCTGGGACAAGAGGTACTGTTTGGACATCGTGGAGAAGGACAACTACTCCACCATCCACTTCTTTGGAGACAAAACCAAACCTGTGAGTTCCTGGAGGAGGCGGGAAGCAGCTGATGCTTTATTACCCAGCGTGCTTTTCTGTTTCCATCATGGCTGCCCCAGTAGGCCCTGTGGGATGTCATACTTCATGTAAACTGATTAGATATTTTAGGTTCTGCAGGTCTTTCCCAGTAAATGTGACTGACAGGACGGTGTGACGTAGAAAACTGCAGCAGAGAAAGTCTGAAGCCGAGGGACAAGCGTCCTCTAGCCCATCGTCTCCTGTCCTCTCTTTCAGGGAGGAAACGACTACGAGATCTACGCCGACCCTCGGACCGTCGGCCATGAAGTGTCGTGTCCCGAGGACACCCGGCGGCTCTGTGAGCAGCTCTTCTCCTGACAGAGGAGCCGGAAGGACCGGTTCTGAAACATCGGGTCACTCTTCTAACCAGCACCGGAGTCATGATGGTGGCAGCGAAACGTTATTCCACACGTCTCTGTGTTTCTGACTGTGTCCTCCACTCACAGTTCGTTCCGTGTTTGGTTCTGACCCGTAACTTCTGTGGACCGATCCGGATGGAGACAGGAACAATAACGGCAAGATTTAAATCAAACGGTCGATGGGAGAAGACAGAATCTGCACTTTTATGTCTGACTGAACGGAGTCCACAGCTCCTGCGATCAGATGATCCTACGAGATGTCGGGTCAGAACTCTTGACGGTTCTGATCCGAGGCACTTGAGAAACTTCTGCTGTAAACTGAGAAATAAAGAATGAAACAAAGATTCTGTTTCCAAACGTAAAATTCATTCATATGCTAACGACATGTTCTGAGGTTCTGTGTGAGGGTTCCTCAGCTCTTTAAATCCTGAAAGTTTTTCTGGACATCAGTAAAAACTGAACCTCAGACCAACGGTCTCTGTGAAAACTAGAAGCTGGATCAAAGAACTTCTTGATCCATTCTTCTGTTGGTACCACAGGTTCTGTTCGATGGTTCAGGGTTTTATGGAGGAGACAAGTTAAACAGAGCCTTCACTTCCTGTTTGGAAGCTCAGATTCAGTGGAAGTCGATGGGTGTTGGGGTGTGTGGTTCTGAAAACCAGTTCACTGTGACCCGTTTGAACTCTGAATGACGGTTCTGTTCACGTCTGAGATAAAAAGTTTGATGTTTGTGTCGTGTGAAGTCGTTAATGTTCTTTAAAGCCCAGAGGTCGGATGAGCCTGGCAGAGTTTCTGACGTGTCGGGTCAAAAGAAGAACCCGGTCCGGTCCAATGTCACCGTGTTCTGGCAGAACATCATTCAGCTGCCAGGAAAGTGTTGAAATAACGGGTCGGTTCTGTTGACTGACTGGCTTCATGAGCCAAACTACAGAGAGTCATAAAAAACCACAGGAAGCTCGCAAGGACAATCTGAAGCATTTCCTGTTCTCAGTGGCCCGTCTGGGGCTTTTATTTTGAAGTTTCCAGGAAGTTGTCTGATCAAACTGGATATTTTACTGACACACAGATAGAGAGGAAGAAGAGACCCAGGTCTTCATCACAGGCTGAGGTCAGGACAACAAGCAGCATTATAAAAAGAACTTTGTTCAGTTTTTAAAGCAGAATCAGAACAAACAGTCGTAGGTTGTCCAGGTCTGGACCAGGGGTTCTGGTCCAGGACCGGTTCTGACAGGAATGGTAAACTTTAATCAAATTAACAACACTGTCAATAAAATACACATAAAAACAATAAAACAAATCAAAGTAAAGGTTTTGTTATAAACATTCAGGTTCACATTTTCAGAACATAAATCGGACCCAGCCGGTTCAATTGGACCGGGTCCAAAGCAGCGCTTTTATTTTTATGTATAAAAAAGTTTGACGGGACGTTCAGCAGAATAATGACCCGCAGGGTCGCTCCGAGGAGCCTACAGGCACCAGCTGGATCCTAAACGGACCAACCAGAACCACTCAGATCCGGTTCTGCTGGAGTTAATACCCAGAACACCTGACTGACCAGATCGGACCTCCAGTTCCTGTCTGATGGAGGTGTGGACATGTGTCCTGACAGAAAGGTGTTAAATGGGAGGTTCAGTTTAACAAAACATCGTCCACTCCTGTCCACACTGTCCTCTCCTGTCCACTGTCCTCTCCTGTCCACACTGTCCACTCTGTCCTCTCCTGTCCACACTGTCCTCTCCTGTCCACACTGTCCTCTCCTGTCCACACTGTCAACTCCTTTCCAAATTGTCCACACTGTCTAATCCAGTCCACACCGACCAGTCTTGTCCACTCCTGTCCAAATTGTCCACACGGTCCACTCCTGTCTACTCCTGTCCTCACTGTCCACTCTTGTCCTCACTGTCCACTCTTGTCCTCACTGTCCACTCCTATCCTCATTGTCCACTCTGTCCTCCTCACAGCTGGACCTGTGCATTTATTTACATAAAAACCCTAAAAACAAAGAGAATCCATAAATCAAACACAAACGGTATTTAGTTTGTCCTGAACCGACCCAGAGTCGGACCCGTTTTTTCTCCCTTTGGACCGTGACAAAAGAATCAGAACATGAATTTACCTGCCTGCCACTCAGGTGGATAAATAAATATGACTGGGTCCTTGTTTCTCTTCAGGCAGCAGCGCAGACAGCCTCACTCCAGGCCCCGGTCCTTGCTGTCGTCAGCGCCGCTGGAGGAGAGGCTGCTGAGGTCGGCCACGCCCGACTCCAGGTCACTGCAGGCGGACCGGTCCTGCAGGTCCAGCTGCAGCCCCAATGACCGGGAGGGGGCGGAGTCCTGGCTCTGAGTCTTCTGACTGGCCGGGTCTGAGGAACCCACGTGAGAGTTCTGAAGCACTGGGCAGGTGGTCGGTTCTGTGAAGGAACTGGGCGGGTCCGGCCCACTGTGTCTCTGTGGCAAGTGGCTAGTTGTCCTCCTTGGAACCTGGACCTTCTCCCTCTTGATTGGTTTCCCTGTGAGAACCGCAATTTTCTGAGGAGAGAACAACAGCATTGTTCTTTAAAATCAAATACAGGTTCTTTAGAACAAAAATGTTCTTTAAGATCAAAGAAATGTTCTTTAAAACCAACTAAGAGCCAACTAAATGTACATTAGAATCAAATACATGTTTGTTGGAACAAAAAGGCACTTTAAGATAAAAGGTTCTTTAAAACCAAATAATGGAGGCAACTAAAGGGTCTTCAGAACCAAAAAAAGGTTCTTTAAAACAGAAAGGTTCTTTAAGATCCAAGAAAGTTTCTTTAAAACCAAATAAAATGTTATTTAGAACCAAATACAAGTTCTTTAAGATCAAAGAAAGGTTCTTTAAACTAAATAAATATTTTTAGAACCAAATACAAGTTCTGGAGAATTAAAAAAAGTTATTGAAAACTAAATAATAGAGTAAAATAAAGGTTTGTTAAAACAAATAAAGGTTATTTAGAACAATATAGTTATTTAAGATCAAAGAAGGCAGCACGGTGGCGCAACTGGTAGAGCTGCTGCCTCTCAGCGAGCAGGTCCTTGGTTCAAACCCCGGTCCAGGGGCCTTTCTGGGTGGAGTTTGCATGTTCTCTCCGTGCATGCGTGGGTTTTCTCCGGGTACTCCGGTTTCCTCCCACAGTCCAAAAACATGCATGTTAGGCTGATTGGTAACTCTAAATTGTCCCTAGGTGTGAGTGAGAGAGTGAATGTTTGTTTGTCTCGTTTGTCTCTATGTGGCCCTGTGATGGACTTGCGACCCGTCCAGGGTGTACCCCGCCCCTCGCACAGTGATTGCTGGACATGGGCACCAGCGACCCCCC